TTACACATTCACTGATTCAGCTTTCCTCCTGCAGTCTGCATCATAGTGTGTATTTTGTGAGATGGAGGAGGACTTTGGGGATTGGCGTCAGACATATGGGCTAATGTTGGACTTGTGGCCGTGGGCAGTACTGGGTTGGGACGTTTTCTTGATGTGCACTTAACCTCTATATAAAACTCTCGTATACATGAGTTTCTGTAGATTTGTTTCTCTAAAGTACCCAGATTAATACACCAGGTCTCTTTTCAATTCACCCAGCCAAACCCCTCTCCTGGCTGGCTGCTGGAAGTGCTGCATAAATAGTAGAACTCTTCACCTTGGTGCAGACATCTTCACTACCCAAGCAATAATTTGTGCCATCAATAAATTGTCCCCCTTCACTTCTCCATTCCTCAGCAGTCCGCTCCCAACGTGCTCCCCTCCCCTCTCCAATGGCAGATGATGACACATACCAACCCTGTCAATGAAGCAGGAACCCCATCCAAAAGGGATTTTTTTTCTTTAACTTTTCAAGTTTTACATCCTTTTATTTATTTTACTCTATGTTACTCTTTGACTCTAAACCCCTTTCTATGCGACCCCACCACCTCGAGGCTGCACATACCCCGCAGGCAGGCACACTCACTGAAGCCAGGTGTTTCCCCTTTTTCGAAGCCAGTTTTTTCTCGCAAGCCCATAAGAGCACACTCAGTTCACGCTACCATAGCAACAGAACTCCTTATCTGTACCCAAGCCAAGCCCTTGCTTATTTTTTTTACTCCTCATGTGCTCTACACGTATAAATATCTCCTGCTGCTTCTTCAATCTTCTTCCCCTTCTCCCTTTTACCTCCTCTCGTCCCCCCTTTTAAAAAGCTTTGAATTCCACTTTAACTCTGCTACTTCTAAATATATACATACAAATACTCTCCTTTTGGTTTGATTTTGAATTTGCTTACAATTTTCTCCTGCCTCTTTACTTACCTCTTTCTACGTTTTCCCTCTCCTAGTGAGTGTGCCTAACGCTCTTAAAACACATGGTCCCATTGTATTTTACAAACCTTTCGGTCTGTCCAGATGGCACCTTACCATTATTACTATTGCCAGTATTTTATTCTCTCTATTCTTCCCCCACCCTACCTTCCCCACGTACCCATCTTTCTCCCTTTCCCCTAATTTCCCACAGTTGGTTTTCCAGGTTCTGCTAAATGCCTCCTTCATAACTGGAAAAAGCCAATTACCCCAGTAAAACCCAGCGGCCCACATACCACTGATAACTGCTCCCCAGAGCGGAGTTTGAACCATGGTGTAGGTGCAGGTGCCACGGGCTGCCAAAATGACAAACTTTCTTGGAAGAAGGATGGTCAGAATGCTCCCTAGAGGCCAGGATGGTCAGACTTGGACTCACATACTTTAGACATGATGCCAGAAGAGACCCGTCCCTGAAGAAGGACCTCATGTTGGTATGATGTCAAAGTACAGGGACAGCAAACAAGGAAGGGCTTCAATGAGATGGAATGACCTGGTGGCTGCAACACTGAGCTCAATTGTGAGGACGGTGCTGGCCCAGGCAGCGTTTCATTCTGTTTTGTGTAGGACCACTATGCATAAGAACGGACTCAGTGACATCCAAAAACAACAACACACTGCCACAACCATTCTTGAATTCTTTTCAGAAAAATTTGACTTGCATTTGCTATTAAGGTTATCATTCGATAATGTTTGCATCCTTTAGGATCACCTTTCTTTAGGATGAGTTTGGATATCCAACTCTCCAGTCAGCTGTTCCAGTTGACCACTCTTCCAGATTTCTTGGCATAGACTAGTGAGCACGTCCAGCAATGCAGCTGGAATTGAAACATTTGAATTGGTGTTCATCAGTTCCTGGAGCACTGTTTTTCCTCATTGCCTCAGTGCAGCTTGGACTTCTTCCTTCAAAACTATTTTTTCTTGATCTTGTGCTATCTCCTGAAATCATCAAATAGCAACCAATTTTTGGTTTAGTGACTGTGGTAGTTACATCATCTATTGTCTACTTGAGACTTAAGAGTGAAGGGGTGGAGGTTAGCCTGTCAATCAGGTCACAGCTTGATAACTCATTCAGAGGCGCTAAGGAGATAAATAGCTTGCTGGAGGCAGGACACACACTCTCTGGGAGACATTCCTGTTGACAAGACATGTGGACCTACCCTGATGGAGCCAGAGCCCTGTAGCTGGAGGAGCCAAGTGGAGACCCATGCCAGCACTAAGATGAGTTGCTTCCACTGCTACCGGAGCCACAAGACTTTCCACCCACTGGATGATCTTCCTGCATTCGGCATCATTGCATGTGCTACATGAGTCTGAAGAGGAATTTAGACACGGGTATCGGACCTGTGGGCTCATATCGGACTTAAGGAGCTGATCTGGATTGGGCTGGGGTGTTTTCTTAATATAAAATTATTCTCTGATCCTGGATTTGTTTCTCTAGTCTGCCCAGACTAACACAGTGACTTTGTGTATTACTCCCATCTTTTAATGCTTCCTGTGTCATTCAGTAGTTCACCCATAGGATCTTTCTTCATTGCAATTCAAGACCTGGTTTATTTTCTGTTTTCCATCTTAAGAAATGCTGATCATGTTCTTTTCTTTTGGTTTTCTAACTCCATGCCCTTGTACATTTCATTATAATACTTTGTCTTCTTGAGTTACCCTTTCAAATCTTCTGTTCAGTATTACTTCATTTTTCTTTCATTTAAGCTACTCTGTTCTAGAGCAAGTTTCAGAATCTCTTCTGACATGACTATTCTTTATTTTCTCTCTTTTGAAGATCTTTTGCTTTCTTCATGTATGACCTTTGTATGCCACAAAACTTATTGCACACCTCAATTCATCCTGCGTCATTAGTGTTTAAGGCATCCAATCTCTTCAGGTGAGATACATTTGAGTTTGTATTTTATTTCTCATGGACTTTAAAATTTTTTTCTTCAGCTTCAACTTGAACTTGCATTTCAGTAATTAATGGTCTGCTCAGTAGTTAGCTCCTGGCCTTGTTTCTGCATCAAGTGAGGTCATTATGTATGAGTGGGTTCAAAAATTCATGGAAAAAAAATCCATTTTTGCTTAATTCCATTTTTATATGAATTTTTAAAGCCCACTTGTATAGTTCTATTTCGGTTGTTGATAAAAAGCATTTGTAATGAATAAGTCATTGGTCTTACAAAATCTTGTTATGTGATCTCCAGCATAGTTTCTATCAACAAGGCTGTATATTTCAACTACTGATCCTTCTTTGTTTCTAATTTTCACATTCCAATGATGAGTAATTATCAGTGCACCTTGATTGTATCCTTAATCAACTTCAGATTGCAGAAGCTGGTAAAAAGTCTGTTTCTTCATCTTTTGCATCTGTTACTGGTATGTAAAGTTGAGTAATAGTTGTGTTAACTAGTCTTTCTTCTATGGGACTGTATATTATTTTCTCATTGACAGCATCATACTTCAGGATAGATCTTGAAATTTCCATTTTTATGATGAATGGGACCCCATTACTCTTCAGTTTACCATTTCCACTATAGTAGACCACATGATAGTCTAACTTAGAATAGCCAATACCACGTCATTTCAGCTCACTATGCCTAAGATATTTATTTTCCTTTTACATGTTCCATTTCATTTTTTATGACTTCTCATTTTCTTAGATTCATAATGTATACAATTTATGCTCTAATTTTTAATTGATTTTACAGGTGTTTCTTTTCATTTTCAGTCATGCCACATCAAAGAATGAACCTCCCCAAAGCTTCACTCCATGGACATCATTAATTTGGGGTGCCTTTTACCCTTAGGGGCTGATCTGGCACTATATCAGCTAATATTGTATTGCTATTCATAAGATTTTCACTGGCCAATATTTTAAGAAATAGACCACTGGGCCCTTCTATTTAGTCTGTTTTAGTCTGGAAGAGCTAATGAAACATATCCTCCATGGTGACCCTGCTGGTATTTGAAATACCATGGCATAGCTTCTAACATCACAGTGGCATACAAGCAACCAGAATACAATAAACTGACCGATAACTAGTGGTAGGTTCAGTAATGCCCCTATTTTATAGAGGTGGAAACGGTGGCACAAATGGTCATGTAACTCTTTAATGACACATGGCCAGCATGTGATAGAGATGAATTCAAGCTTAGGAACATTGACTCCAGAGGTATGGCATTTTAAGAGATATTTCATGAATTTGGGGGTTAGAACATTCAGATCTTTACAGCCCACTCCCCACCTACACACTACCCCAACACCATTACCCCTTATTTTTTAAGAAACAAAGGGGGGGGGGCAAGGATCCAACCAGATGAGATGTACTTTACCTCTTTGACAGCAGGAAGAATATTGTCGCGACCTTGCTATTCTCCTATAGAACTGGCCTGGGAGCTTGTATCCTTGCTAGTCCTCTGTGCCTGGGGAGCCACAGGTTGCACCGTTAGATTTCAGTGGTACAGGAATGGGTCTTCCATCCCACCATGATGGAGAGTCAACGAGAGATAAATCATTTTCATGTTTTGTTTTGTTTTTTAAAATCATTTTATTAGGGGCTCATACAACTCTGATCACAATCCATACATATATCAATTGTGTAAAGCGCGTTTGTACATTCATTGCCCTCATCATTCTCAAAACATTTGCTTTCCACCTAAGCCCCTGGCATCAATTCCTCACTTTATCCCCTCCCTCCCCAATCCCCCCTCCCTCATGAACCCTTGATAATTTATAAATTGTTATTTTGTCATATCTTGCTCTGTCCAATGTCTCCCTTCACCCACTTTTCTGTTTTTATTATTGGCTTGATTGGGTTTTATATAGCTGGAAAACCGGCACCTCTACATAATAACTGTAAGCTATCCTTGGAATCAGTTGTATAGAATCGAGCTGCATATTTATTCTCTTAATAGGAACATTTCTCAGAATTCTTGCATAGTCTTTTAATTTTTTTTTCTTTAATGTGAAAATTTTAATAAAAAAGAGATTTGTCTTAACAGGGGAAGGAGCCATGTACTTGTTTGATATATATCTACAGAAGTTGTTTGAAATAAAAGTTTTCAAAGAGAAATGCCATTCTTGGTTCATAAACCAGTCAGTTCAGTCAGGTAAGTGACATAGTGTATATATTTCCATTAACTAACTGCATGCTCCATCTCCTCTGTGTTAGACAAGATTGTCTGGAGAAACAAATGTAGTTACATGGAAATTTGTGCAAGAAAGAGCTTTGTCTCAAGAACCAAGTCCATAACAAGTCCATAAGCATCCTAATCTAGTCCAACTCAAGCCCATAAATCAAGTGGCTCAAAAGTCAGTGGAAACTTGGCTGGGCACCAACAGTGCTTAGGGTCTGGCAGCCCACACTGGGCCACCCGTGGAGGCAGGCAGAATCCCAGAAAGCAGAAAGGCATAGGGCCAGAGAGAGTGGCTTCTAGTGTCTACAACTCTTATACAAAAAGACTTATGACACCAAGGAATGTTTATCGGGATGCAATCCAATTGATAGGTTGGACCCCACCCTTACCCTTATCCAGGTATGTCTAGTTAACATAATCCATAACCATCACATCACATCCATTCTTCACACAGTTCTATCTGCCTGGATTTGGTCCATGGCCCTTAGCACTTAAGCACCCATCCCTACCCCTCCATTCCTCGCTCCCCCAAAGGCAAGCAAACAAAAACACTGCCATCAAGAAGATTACCACATGAGGATTTGAAGTTTATGGTTCATTGTGACTTTAAGAGAATTGTATAGGAATCATGAGCTTATGTCCAAAAATACCTTAATTAGGAATTTCAAATATATTTTCAATGAATGTTTTTTTCCATAGAGATTCAGATGAAATAACTAAACTGTTTATATGAGAAATGTAATTCCCTTTGTTCTCTTTTTAATCTGTAGACGGTCATCTACACTTTGCCACACCAATGGATCCTTTATTTCTGGTTCTCCACTATCTTATAAAGGCTGATAAAGAGGTAAGTTCCTCTCTTTTAAAAAAATAAAGAAACAAAATAGATGGGTCTTTATTTAGCTCTGTCTCTCCTTGTAATTATTCAAATGTAGATTCCCCACACATCAGATTTAATTTGGCTGTTGGGGGTGGGTGGGGGAGAGCGTGCTCTGTGTGCTGATATAGACAAGAGTAATGTCACACAGAACTGACAACCAGGCACTTAACCTTGATTAAGTTTAACACTTCCTGTGCGGTGCAGATGGTTCATGCTCTCAGTTGCTAACCGAAAGGTTGGAAGTTCAAGTTTACCCAGTGGTGAAAGGCCTGGCTTCTACTTCTCCAAACACCAGCAATTAGAAGCACTGTGAATACTGTTTCTAGTTTGACATGCATGGAATTGCTATGAGTCACTTAACTATGGCACCCGAGTAGCTTATTTGTCAACTGTGTGACCTCATTTGAGCTTTCGTGCCTTAGGGAACTGACAGCCTAGCAATAAAACAATTGCATCCTTAAGCACTTATTAGATTTGAAATATAATAAAAATGTTTTCTTTTTTGAAAAATTACCACAGGCCTGTGAATCAGGTCTCAAAGGAGCCTCAAGTTCTAGCAATGCAATCCCCATGTTGGCTTCGTCTACAGGTAGTGTAGCACACATGGTGGGGCAGAGAACTATCTAAAGCAGCAGCACACTGGTCCGATCAGCAGGGAGCAAGAGATATGGAATGCTGGCTATCTTCATTCATCTTGGTCGCCCTCCAGTCAAGCTGCAACCTGATCAAACGTTGCCCACATTCCTCTTGGCTTAGTCAGCTCAATAAACCTAACCATCACTTAAATATATGCAAATATATATGTCCACATGTAAGAAGCTCACCAGCCTTTGTGATTCTAGGATTGTAAATAATATAATCCAAATCTGAAGAAGGGAATAGTATCAGAGCTTACATTGTGATCACCCAATTTGTAGAAGGCTATGGATGACAGTGAAAGCCCAAATCCATTTGCAGGGTCCACACATGGTGTGGTAAGAGTATACAGTCCTTCCACACCACCTTTCCTGATTTTAAGTCTTACATTAATCTCCTGCTCTGTTCGCACAACTGCCTCTTGATCCAGATACAACTTTTGGATGAGCACAATGAAGTGTTCTGGAATTCCCATTCTTTTCAAGGTTATCCATAGTTTGGTATGATCCATACAGTCGAATACCTTAGCGTAGTCAATAAAGCACAAATAAACATCTTTTTTGTATTATCTCTTTTCAGCCATGATCCATCTGACATCAGCAATGATATCCCTGGTTCCATGTATGCTTCTGTATTTAGCCTGAACCTCTGGCAGCTCCCTGTCAATGTACTGCTGCAACCTTTGTTGGCTGATCTTCAGCAAAATTTACTTGCATGTGATATCAATGATATTGTTCTATAATTTGAGCATGCTGTTGAGTCACCTTTTTATGGAATGTGTACAAATATGGATGCAATCTCTTCCATTCAGTTAGCCAAATGTATTGGCATATATGACTAAGTGTTTCCAGTGCTTCCCCAGCTTATTGAAACATTTCAATTGGTATTCCATTAATTCCTAGAAACTTGTTTTTGATTAATGCTTTCAGTGCAGCTTGAACTTCTTCCTTAAGCACCATTGGATTTTGCCCATATGCCACCTCCTGAAATGGTGGAATATCAACTAATTCTTTATGTACAGTAACTCTGTATCCTGTTCATTCGTTTTGCCAATAGAACCTTTCAATATTGCAACTTGAGGCTTTTTCTTTAGTTTGCATTTTTCTTTCTTTCAGTTTAAGATATGCTAAGTGTGTTCTTCCTTTTTGGGTTTCTGTCTCTAGATCTTGTGTTTCACTGACTATGCAAAGGCATTTAGTTTGTGGACCATTATAAATTAGATAACCCTGAGGAGAATGGGAATTTCACAACACTTCATTGTGCTCAGTCAGAACTTGGGCATGGATCACGAGGCAGTTGTGTGCAGCAAAGGTGTGCGTCAGCGTTGTATCCTTGCACCATATTGGTTTAATCTCTGGGCTTGCAAATCATCAGAGAAGGGGCAATTTCACCTACTTTGGAACATTGCTTTAAAGTAACACCTAAGACATTTAGCTATTTCCTTCCTGTATTTTAGAAGTGATCTTACTTAGTTAAAAAAAAAGAACCCGTGGCAAACACGTTTGAAATATTACTGATTCTTTTTAATCACTGGACTTATTTTATCATTTATTTATTTGAGCCCTTGGTATCAGCTTCTCTTTTCCCCTCCCTCCCCCACCGTCCCATCCTCCTGAATCCTTGATCAATTATATATTAGTGTTGTTATTTCATGTCTTAAACTGTCTGTTGTCTCCCTTCACCCACATTTCTGTTATTCATCCCCCTGGAGGGTGGGCCATATATCCAACCTTGAGATGGGTTCCCCTTTCACCCCCTTCTCCCCACACTCCTACTCTCATGATATCACTGCTCCCACTACTGTCCTCAAGGGTTTTATCTGTCCTGAATTCCACGTGTCCAGAAACACTGTACATGCTCCAGTCTAGCCGGATTTGTAAGGTAGAACTGGGTCATAGTAGTAGTGGGGAGGAAGTATTCTGGAACTAAATAAATGATGTGTGTTTTGTTGGTGCTATACTGCACCCTGGTTGAATTGTCCCTTCCTTGTAACCCTTCTGTGGGGCATGTCCAATTGTCTACAGATGAGCTTTGGGTCTCCATTCTGACTTCCCTCATTCACATGGATAAAATTGTTTGTTTTGGATATTTTGATACCTGATCCCGTCGAAACCTCATTATCACACAGGCTGGTGTACTTCTTCCATGTGGGCTTATTTGCTTCTCTGCAGGATGACTGCTTATTTAGCTTCAAACCTTTCAGACCCAAGACGCTATATCTTTATGCACCCATTTTGTCTTCAGTGATCATGTTGGGAAGGTGAGTATCAGAGAGTGGCAGATTATTAGAATAAAGTGTTCTTGTCTTTAGGGAGGCTTTGAGTAGAGGCCCCAAATCAGTCTGCTATCTCAATACTAAACATATAAATATATGTACATTGGCCTCTATCCATTTCATTATAAATTAATATATTCACATATATTCATGTTTATAGCTATACCTCTATAAATAGCTTTTGTCTCCTGCTTCTTTCCTCTGTTTCCTTTCGCCTTCCTTCCTCCTATCCCACTATCATGCTCACCCTCCACTCAGCTCTCAGTAATTCCTTGTGGATACATTGCACTTGATCAAACACTACCAGGCCTCCTCCCACAGATCAAACCCCACCAGGCCTCCTTGCCATCATTTTTAGACTTTTTGTTCCCTCATCCCTGAATTGGTTGACTCCCAGCTCCCCCTCTGTGTCCTGTCCTCTCCCATGTGCCCCCTGGGACCTGGGACCTATTGTTTTCTCCTCGAGATTGTTTGTCCTGCCTATCCTATATAGATAGACATAGGGCGGAGGAAAAAAACCAACAAAAACCCTGATAGATAGTTCCAGGTCTATCTGCTGACCCTTATGAGTGTTTTCTAATCGGGTCTGATGAGGTCCAAGCCCTGTCCCCAGAATCAGCAGTTTGTTTTCAGGACCTGCTTACTTTGCTCCCCTTGCTGCCCAGGTGTACTTCCTTCAAGTTTCACCCCTCTGTGCTTGGGGCAGACCAAGCACACTTTCCACACAGTGTGTCCAGTGCTGTCCTCCGTAGTGCTGTGGGTCAGTGAGGGAACATCTTGTCTCATGGTGGGACCAGCCCTACAGTCCTCTCTGTGCAGTGGCTGCTCTGAGTAGGGATGTCGTCCTGGGGCTTGGTGGGCCATGATGAATTTCACTCTCTCTCTCGCTTTCCCTTTTAGTTAGTGCGCAGGTGGTCTAGACAGACCTGCCACCTTCCCTGGGCTATATCTTCAATGCTGTCCTTTGTATTCCATTCTTCGGTTGAGGATCAACATAGCTCAACTTGGGCCCTGCTCTATCACCCTCTGTTAGTTCACTGCCATGCCAGTGTGTTGTCCTCAAGGCTTGGCGCTCTGGGATGGAGTCTGGTCCCTCTCTCCCTTTCCTGTGGAGACATAAACAACACCCTCCCCATGGGTGGTTACTGCCCTGTTCCCCCACTGCCCACATCTTTTTCCCCCCGCTCCTTTTTAGTTGGCTATTATATGCATCCCTGGGTTGGGTCTGACTCTGCTACAGTGCTTCGACCTCACCCTGGGAATTTTTTCCCCCTATGCCTGTTGTTCTTGGCTTACTACAGTTAGCATAATTTTCTTCAACTCTTTCCATGAGACAATGTGCTTCATGTGTGTTCATCACTGCGTTTTAGGGCTATGTAGTATTCCACTGTATGTATGTAATAGTTTTTTAATCTTTTCGTCAGTTGATGGAAATTTAAATTGTTTCTAGTTCTTCATGATTGTTAACTACGCTGCGATGAACATTGGAGCACAGATGTCTGGTCTTGGTCTGTCTCTTACTTCTTCTGGGTATATGCCCAGTAGGGGGATTGCTGGATCATATAGTAGTTTGGTTTCCGTTTGTTTTAGGTATCACCAAATTGATTTCAATAGTGGCTCCACATACCTCCAGGATCATGAGTAGTGCATGAGAGTTCCTATCTCACCACACTCCCTCCAGCACTTGCTGCTTTCTGATTTTTAGAATTGGGCTATTTTTAAGGGTGTTAGGTGGTATCTCATAGTGTTGTTATTTGCATTTCCCTACGGCTAATAATTGGAAACCATTTTCTCATGTGTTTATTGGTCATTCCGATTTTTGCCCTTGTGAAACTTCTGTTCAGATGTTTTGCCCACTTCCTCAGTGGACTCTATTTTTTTCTTGTTATGGGCTAGCAGAATATTATATATTTTTATAATAAGCCCTTTGTCTGATGTGTCATTGCTAAAGATGTTTTTCCAGTCTCTGGGCTCTCATATTACTCTCTTGGCGAAGTCTTGTAATGTGCGCAGGTGATTTATCTTCAATATATCCCATTTATCAGTATGTGCTTCC